TTAAATTTGCACTTATAAATTAAATCCTCATGTCCCGACTGCAAATAATTCATTGTTGAGTCTCCAGTTATTTCCTTTCTTATACTTTTTTATTGAATGCAATAATGTCTTTTGAACATCAAATTGTGTTAGGTGCTTCAGTCCTCACCACAGTTCTGGGTTTTTATAGGTGAGGCATCTGAAGGTCAGTTATGTAACTTCTTCAAAGTCACAGAGCTAGAAAATGAGATCCATCAGACTCTAAAATCATGTGATCTTTTTCATTTTGTCTTCAGTCTCTCAAAATAATAGTCGATATAAAGACCACTAGCAATTAAGTTACACAAAGTTAAGCTAAGTCCAGTCAGCTGTACTCATCTGTGTGATCTTGGACTGATCAATTACTCTCACTGAGTCTCAGTTTCCTCACCTACCAGATGGCAAGAATAATAGTACCTCCTTTGTAGGGTTGTTGTGAGTAAAATAATAAGACCCATGTAAATAACTTAAGAGGACAAGCACTCAAATGATCTTGGTTTTTTCTATTATCTTTTATACCACCCCCCACCTCCTGTTGATCTCTGCCAGTTCTGTGCTAAGTATTTTATGTGCATTATCATTTCAATTGCTCTGCGGGGCAGGTGTTAGGTCTATTTGCAAGAGGGAAATAGATCATGAGTTCCAAAGATTGTCTAGCTCAAAAGCCTGTTTGCCTTCTACCCATAAAATGACTGCAGCTTCCTGGTCTATATTTTTTGTGGTGATATGACAGTGATGGTGAGGTCATTGTAGCTGTGGTTGTTGCCCACTGAATAGCAGAACCAGGACTCAGCCAGAGTCAGTCTGACTGCAGAGGCCCAGCCACCCTTGACCACTCTGCTGCAAGGCTTGGAATTTATGGTTCTGCTAATTCCATATATAGGAAGCTTGAAATGGGGATACTTGGAAGAGTTATCCAGAGTTATATTTTTATTTTACAGTCTTATTCCCCAGTAGCTTCCAGAAGGTTTATGGTCTTCCTAATAACTTATTTCTAAGGCATTCCCGAGTAAGTCATAATTAGTAAATTTTGGCAGAATTAACAAGGGCCTTATGGCACAGTGCAAGTCTCCCTCCTCTTTTGTGTTAATTTGGAAAGGCCCTCTGAAAGTATCTCTTCCAAACAAAATAGGATTGGAATAACCAACAAAATTGTGAATAAGTCAGTTTCCTGTCAGAATTCCAACTGGAGCTTTTAGTACAGAGGCCACACTCTTGACCTGGCTAGAAGGTGGCCAGACAAGGAGCAGCTTTTAAGTGACTTCATGTATTCAAGTTTCAGGGTTAAATAAACAGTAATTTGAGGAATGATTTCTCAAACTCTTTGATGAAGGTTCATGTCATCTGCTCTGATGTAGTCTGATTTACAAAATGCCCTTGTACTTGGGAAAACTTGTTATGGCAATGGTGATAGTCTGATGTCTGTCTCTTTATACTCTGCAGCGCACTTACTTGCACACCATTCATTGCACTTGAGCCTGAATATGGCCCTATCTTCTGAGGCTAGGGCCTAGCTCACGGTGAAGAGAACTGACCTTCAGAATGCTAATACTCCCCTCAGTGAACATCTCCTTCTAGAGTGTATTCTAATATGCTCTTAGACCAGGGGTGGGGAACATCTTGCCTGAGGGCCATTTAAGGCCCAAGAAATCATTTGGTCTGGCCCTGCCAAGCCATTAGGGGTGAGTTAATTAAATGTTTGACCAAATATAACAGGCTAAATTTTAAGTTGATAATTTTGTATGGCCCACAAAATGATAGTATAAATTTCCAAATGGTCCTTGGCAAAAAAAAAAAAAAAAAAAAAAAAAAAAAAAAAGGCCATGACTCCTGACTTAGAAGAAACAGCCAATGAAATATTATGTCTCCTGTTTTCCTGCTTGGATGTGTTTAAGCACAATTTTTCAGGCATCTATCTAAATCCACAGTTCTTCCTTACAGCTTACTCTTCTTTGTTTCTCTAGCAATTAGTACAGTTTTTAGGAAAAGGCAAGTGCTCACATTTTTTGTTAAGTTGAAATTAAACTGTTCCCATTGTAGTTGGTGGGGATCTCATTCTCGGTAATTTGTTAAGAAAAGAGAGACAAAACCTGTGGGACATTAGGCATAACAGGGCAGAGGCCTATCACTAAGTTTGAATTCATTTAAAATGTTTTTAGGTCGGGATTGCTGAATGTGTTGTACTTGCGGCCAGAGGCAGAAAGGTTCTAAGAGATGCCATTATTTGTTGAAATACATCCTTGGGGTTTGGAGCCTCCTGCCTCTATAGTCAGGATTGGCTAGAAAAGCTAAGCTGAATGAATTATGACTGCTGAGGACATGGAAAGTGTAGGTATTAGTTATTTCAGCCCCAGGTGCCTGCCCTGGCCTCTCCTCTGCTTAGCTGTGCTGGTCAGGAAATCTCTCATTGTGGAATGCTGTGTTGCGTTGCTGTGTTGAGTTGACCAGGCAGATGTGAACACTCATCTAAAGGAACAGTGTTTTATATGTCAGTGGTAATAGTGCATAGGCAGGTTGTCACCGAGGAGCAGCCATGGTTCAGCTTATTTTGGGGATCAAAGTAAAGGGGAGAGTCAGCTTCTTAGAGGTTGGGGTCCTTGAGTTCAACAACAATTATAGTTTCTCTTTTCTTTTTCTGCAGATACCCTAAAAGAGTCTGGGGACATGTATAGCACTGGTACTTATTTTTAGGGATGCCAACTCCTCTGGAAGCCAAATGATCTCAGTTGTTTTTGTGTGAAGTCCCCTTCTCCCCTTACTCTCTTGCCCCAGTTGAACTCAGCTATGTTGTGATTCGGTTTATTTTGTTGAAAATTCATCCCCTGGGGAAAATATGATAATGCTGTTTTCAGACAGCTGTGTTTGGTAATGAGATGGACTGAACCAGCTGGCTGGCATCATTGGAGCTCAAGGACCTGCCAACCCATGGAGAGCAGCTGTTTGGGCTGAAATTCTTATCCTTATGACTTTGCTTCCTATAGTATCAGCTTCTGAGTTCTTTTCAATGCACACACGAAGGAGAGAAAGACTCTGATATGTTTAGGGCCACCCATAGTTTAAGGAAGTGGGCTGCCACCATCATCCTCTCATTATATTCATGACTGTCGGAAAGAAAAAATTCAGAAGGAGGCTGTCTCTAAAGAGGAAGCGACAATAATGAGTGGATCAGTAAATATTGATTATATAGTGGGGGTGTTAGAAGATTGTTTAATGAAGGGGGAAATGTCACAATGTAATGTTGAGTGTAATGTATAGGATACCAAACTATATACAGAATATAATCATCATTATGGAAAAGTATTCTTTAACATTAAGCGAGATAACCAATACAAAATATTTAACCTGGTGCCTGGCATGGCGAAGACTCAACAAATCACAGCTACTGGGTGCAAATTCTAACCACAAGGAACGTACTCAAAAGATCTTTCTTGATTGCATGAATTAGTGCTTCTGTCATTATTTTATTCATTGAAAATGAATCTGAAAAATCTAAGAACATGGGTTTCTATGTATCATCTGTAGGTACACCTGTGATTGTGGTAGCTTAACCTCTCTGTCTCAGTTCTTCATTATAAATAGTGAGGAGAGTACTTAAGGCTCAGGTCACTGAGAACTGAATGAGCCACCTATGAAACACATGCAGTGGCCAGTCCCTAGGGAACCAACATTGAACGGTGGTTACTATAATCATGGCAACTAACTGTATAAGTGGTATATACTATAACTAGAGGCCCAGTGCATGACATTTGTGAGGGGGGGAGGGGGGTGTGGAGGAGGGGAGGATATGTCCCTCAGCCTAACCTGCACCCTTTCCAATCCAGGAGCCATCAGGGAATGTTCTACTGACAGCTTAGATCCACTCCCTGTGGTTCTCTGCTCTCTGTGGGGCCGCCACTGCGCAAACGAAGCCACCATGCCCCACTGTCCGCTTTCTGTCTGCCAGGCCTGGGGGCTTCACCCTTGCCTGAGGGATGAAGCCCCACATCCCTCTGTTCACTCTCAGTGGGGGCCTGAAAGGACTAGGGCATTCCAGCGGGGCTGAGGGGACTGGGTGCCGCCATCTTGTGGCTATGGGAAACACCATCTTTGTGATGGTGTGATGGTCAATTTGCATATTCCCTCTTTATTAGATACGATAATTCTGCTGGCCTTGTGTCTGTAGGAAAAAAGATGAGAGTTGTCATGATTTTGTCTAACATTTTCTTCTCATTTTTTACCTTGGGCTTTAAAAATGTTTTTTAAACATTTAAAAGAAAATAAAACTCAAAAGCTAATAGTGGTTATCCTAGAATTGGAAGAGTATTTCTGTTTTCTTCTTGATGCTTTTTTCCAAATGCCTGTAGTATTTATATATATATTTTTTTTTATTATCGCAAGGAAAAACAAGTATCCCCCCCTCTCCGCCCCGCTTATAAATAAGGAAAAAAAAAATTGCTCAGCATCAAATATAACACTAGAAAGGATACCCTCCTGAATATGACTGAGGGCGAATGAGGAAATGGTGCCCTGCACTGGAGTTCTGTTTGGAGTGTTATATAAAATGCATATTTCACACTCTGAGAAAGTTGTGAAGCAGTCATTGAGAACTAGAAAAGAGAACCAGAGAAGTAAAAAGATTTTGACTAATTGATTCTTCACAAAGGTGGTCACAAAACTTGAAGCCTTGTTAATAGCAATGGCTTAGATTTAGCACAGATTTTTCCCATGTCCCCTGGAGAGAAGAACAAAAAGAAGATCAGTGGAAGAATAGGAGAAGGGGTTAGAGATGGAAGTAAATGGTTACTAAGGTCTGGGGTACACTTCCCAACAAGAAGGTTTCACCTAGTTCCTCGAGATGATTACAATGAAGTCCTGAGCAAACACTGGTGGTCTTCTCAAGGTCTGTTGCTGATTCTTAGACATCACCACCCGCCTTTGTACTGGTTCTGCTTTCTCCCCAGTTCACGGCAGCCTGTAACCGTCCTATGCAATTTTACTTGCAGATATTTAACACCGTGCCTGAAACGCCTCTCACCAATGCCCAGCTGCACTTGTCTCGGAAGAAGAGCAGTGACTCCAAGCCCCCGTCCTGCAGTGAGAGGCCCCTGACGCTCTTCCATGCCACGCAGTCGACAGAGAAACGTGAGTCCTGCGCTCAGGGCTAGCATGATACCCCAGGGACATCTCTTGCCACCTCTGCCTCCGGCTGCTCAGGGGCCACACCTCTGTCCCCTCTGTGGGCCTCTGCCCTTTGCATCCTTGAGGACTGTGTTGCACTGTGCCCTCCAAGGTGCCACAGCTGTGTAACCCTAACAGGAGAGAAGCCTGTATTGCTGAGAATGAAAGGCCAGAGCCATGCTGTCCAGATTCTCTTTTCAGATCTCCTGTGGGCAAACAGCTAAGCCTCTCTCCCTCCTGCTACACGATACAAGCTCAGCTCAGGCCTTGCATCTTTGGGCCCCCTTTTGTTAGCAGCTCCCAAACGACAGTTTCCCTCTTTTTTCTCAGTCTGTAATTAGATGCTTATTAGGGTGAGTCATATGCCCCACTAGTTTGTGACTCTGTGAGGGCGGACCTTCTTTTGCTCTTCCTTCTACTCCACCTCTCACAGGGCCTAGCGTGGAGTGGACACATAATAAATATGTGACATTAATTAAGGAATTCATTAGGGAATAACACCATTCTTGTTCCACAGCAAAGTGTAAGCACTACGATTGTTTCAAAACTTGTTTCCATCTCAGGATTTCTGAGTTTTTTGCAATCACCTGGTGACTGCTCCCTAAAATGCTCCCAGTCTTGTTTAGCATTTAGAAGGAGAGAGTTGAGTATAGACCTGTGTTCCTGTCCTGGCAGCAACACACGGACAAGCCTTTTGCCTTCTCTCAAACTCAGTTTGCTCATCCATAAAGTAGGGATCACAGTACTAACCTCATAGGGAAGTTGTGAGGTTTAAATGAAGTTCATGCATTAAGCACCTGGCACAAGGCCTGGGCTGACAGCTGAGAGCCATGACTATTATTATTAGTTATTGTTGAATCATATGCAGATACCAAGGCTGGTTCATTCACACAGCCAACATTTACATGATTGTCTGCCAGGGAATGGAAATATAAAAGTATGGCCTGTCTTTAAAGAGCTCATAACCGAGGAAGGAAAGCGGACAAGTGAACAGATAATGGCAAGTCTGCACATAATGCTCTCGTAGAAATATGTGCCTTCAGGGAGTCAGTAGGATATATGTTTGAAAGACATGGCATCACCCTAGTCACTGTGGTTCAGTTGGTTGAGTGTTGTCCTGTGCACCAAAGGGTCTCGGGTTTGATTCCCAGGGTGTGTGTGGGAAGTAACGAATTGATGTTTCTCTCTCTCCCTCTCCCTCCTTCCCCTCTTCCTTACCTAAAATCAGTGAAAACATAAAGAAAGATAGATAGATAGATAGATAGATAGATAGATAGATAGATAGATAATAGATAGATAGATAGATAGATAGATAGATAGATAGATAGATAGATAGATAGATAAAATAAGACACATGGCGTCAGCCAGATTGCCTCGGTGAGCTGCGTGAGAGTTCTACCTCTACTGCTCACTAATCAGACAGTTGTTCATCCTTCACAGGGTTGTTGTGAGGATGAAAGCACTTCGAACTGTGCCTGGTGCAGAGTACATGCTCAGTAAATGCTGTGGATGGCTGTTGTTATTATCACTACAATAAGGACAAAACACAAAGTGGAACAATGACCTGCTTTACCTTGAAGAGAAGAGGCTCCGTATCAGGATTGGCATCTTTCTCTTCCTTTGTTACAAAAATGAGTTTTAGTAGCCCCTCACATTTTAAAAGTGATGGCTTTCCTTATAATTCCTGAAAACGAATCTTCAACACCCCAAATATCATACATTTAAAGGTATCACAGTATACTACATATACGGCTGCACCCTGGTGTATTTAGTACCATTTGGATGATTCATATATTTTTGCATTTATGAATAAAGCTACTGTTACGATCTTTGTAGCTAAATCTATTCATACTCATGATCATTTCCTTAAGATAAATTCCTAGAAATATTTCTAAGTCAATGGGCTTTGACTCTTTACCTGGATTGGCTTCCTTTCCAATGATAATCTGTGTTCCTCTTGACTGTCTAGTTTGGCACATTCTCACTGTGGTGTCCACATGGCCTGGGCTCTTCCACATGTACCAGCAAACAGTTGGAAAAGGCCTGGCTACACCCACATCTGCCACGAACAAGACTGTGAGGTGATGTGCTTCTCAGGTTTCTAGGAGAGCCATGGTCACCTCATGTTTTGTACAAACGTGTACAGTGCAGATGGGGACAGATCAGATAGTGCTGGTAAACGCTGCTAAGCTTTCCATAGTGCCAAGGTCATGATGAGACTGAAGCAGAGGCAGCTCTGGGAGAGGCCTAGAAGCATACTCTGGGAGCATATAGGAAAGAAAATGGAGATCAGGAGAAAATCAATTAGATCCTTGCCCGCGATTAATTTTATCACAAGGCAAGGGATGAAAGTTAAGGATGTGTGAAATCAGACCTGCTTAAGCTGCAAAGCCAACTGCTGGCCCTGTCTGCAGATGGTGGATGGAGGGGTGAGAGATGGGAAGAGGGTAAAGCAATACTACCTCTTTCCTCCAGATGTTAGTAAATGCTCTCTGAAAGCAACACCAAAATCTCCATATGCTTGAATCTCCATATGCTTTATCAAAGCTCTTTTCTGAGTTTACAGAATTCAAATATAAAGATCTGGCAGCTGATTTGTAGGAGAAATTGCATTTCCATAATGTGTATTCCATAATAATAATTGCATATTTAGTGATCACAATGTCACAATGTTTTTCATTGTGATGCCTTTTCTATACCTAGCTCCCTACTTCCCAAACCTGAATCATTTTTATAAACCTTCATTCATTTTTTGTGCCACAGCCACATAACTCATTCACAGATGTTTAATACATGTCTTTGCTTCAACTTTAAATCAATTCACTTCTTTACATGGCCTATTCCTATTCAGTTAAAGCTCCAAAATCATGAGTTTGATGGTCTCACGGTTCTGTTCTCTAATATACAGGAAAATAAATATGTTACCATTAAGATAAAGAATGTTCATCCATATCCAATCCCAGAATTGTTTTGTGTTCTGCCCATAGAGTATGTACCACAGTTTGGAGTCCACAGACTTTGCTCTAGAATTTTGACAGATTCAGATCCTTCATGTAACTTAAATATAAAAAATTTTCTTTTGTCCGCTTGACTTGGGTTCAGAATTGGGTTCAGATATCATTAGTTGGTTGTTTATATCACTGCAGACACTCAGTGATATAGACATGCTGTGCATAGTTTTATAATGTGACACCTGTCCAGGTGTGATGTAACCTTACCTTTCTTCAGATTCTTGCCACAGAGCAAATATCTTGTTAAAGAGATCATGTTAGTGTGGACACACACATACACACACGACCTCTCCTCTACCTACAAACTTGGCATATGATATTTTTCAGAATCTCGTTTCCCCTTATGTCTGCATATCTGCCTCTTTTGAACCCAGTAATGCCTTTTCTCCTCAGTGATGTACTTGCAGTTTATTATTTCCTTATTCTTTCATGGGTCAGCCATCTCTTCAGTCCCTGAAACTCCCAGAGTAGTTTGCTTGGTGTTTCCATTTGAGAGGTCCAATTGTTCCCCATCAGCACACGTTTCCCCCCACCTCTCCGCAGGACCCCTGCTCTGTACAGAAGTTGGAGCCCATCCTTTTCTCTCAGAAGTGACTCTGTACCAACACTTCTGGACTCAGATTGTCAGCTGCCTTCCTCTTCCTGGAGAGGAGGCTTCGGAGGGTCATTTTGCCAGGTTTTTCAACTGTGCTGACAGTCAAATGGTAGCAAAGAATATTAGTGTTTAATCTCTACGTTTCCATGCAGATACACCACACAACAGACATTGCACTGGAATATCAAAGTTAAAGGCACTGACAAGCAAACTGTACTTTTAGTTTTCTGAACAAATGTAGAAGGTAGAACCTGGGATTAGAGGAAATAAGCAACCAGCTCTTGTACCTTTTAGATTTCTTCTAAGAAGTTGCAAGGTGACATTTATCACTTATGTTGTCCCAGATTTTTAGTATACCCACCAAGGTGTGGAAATGTATTGATTGGAAAACCAGTTCTTATTCTTGGGTGCACATTTGAGTCATGTAAGGAGCTTGTTAAAGATATAGGTGGCTGGTTTCCTCTCTGGTACATTCTGAATCACGTCTTGGCTCTGCAGCTCAGGCATTTGTATTTTAAAAGCTCCCGGGCAGTGCTGAAGACAGCTAAGTAAAGAAGCACTGGCTTGGGAGAGGGGGCACCATCTAGGTTTCTTGTCTTCTGTCATTACCAGAACATCTCTTTGTCTGTCTGGATTGGGGACGGCCTGGCGTGGTGATTGAAAGTAGGAGTTCTGTGCCTCCCTGCACTGTTTCTGTGCCATCTTGACTCGGAGACCTGGGGTACATTACTTTTCCTTGTCCGAACCTCCATTTTTCTCATCTGTAAAATCTATCACTAGTAATAGCTTTCTTGGAAGGAAATTACCGTTATTAAGTGAAACAGTGCATGTACAGTACTTGACATTGGGCCTAGAATATAGTAAGCACCTAATAAACATTAGCTACAATTACGATAATTATCATCAAGCTATAGCTTTCCTTTACATTTGACTACATATCTCTCCCCACATCCGAGGCTGCACATTCCCCAGGAGAGGCTCCTGCAGAAGGGTTATGTAGTCTCCCTGGCTCAGCCAGAGCCCGTTTGATGCTTGAGTGCAAATACATCAGCAGCTTGGGATGAGTTGTACAGTGTTGATGGGGGTGGGAATGGATTCTTGGGCTTTGCTTTACAGGGATCATGTTAACCAGCTGCTGGGATTATAGTTCTGTTTAATTCTTTTAGTTCAGTTAATTCTTCCTGGACCCTGTCCCAGACAGGCCCAGTGAGAGGTGGAGAACTTAGCTCATGTACTTCTCATGTGTGTCTTCCTTGTTGAAAAATCACTGGGAATTCATACTATTCAAAGTCTTACATAATGCCTTTCTCCAAGCAGGCAGGGCTGCCTCCGGTGCCTTTTCTCAGGCTGCCTCTGCT